CTAACTTGAACCACTTTCACAATAAACTTGGACTTACGTCCATGTATTTTCAAAAATATTTTCTTAATCAAACTTTAACCAACTTAATAATACCTTAACATTTTTGTGAGAATACTAAAAGTCAATCAATCTCATTCAAACCATTTTGCCATGTTGTCTTTTTACGTTAAACTTTTCTAAAAAAAGATTAGACTCTTGTCAATCCTTGTAGTGATGTGAGCTACTATACTTCTACGATATATAGTGAAGTGAGATATTTTCCACTTGGATGTTGAGTGAGGATTTGTTGATTTTAAAATCCAAGTCATATCCTCCACTTTGAGATGACGCAAATTCTCCTTTCTCATAATCGTGGGTAGTAAGTATGTTTTCCACTCGGACACGACGATGATGTCTTGTCTCTTAAAATTAACCAACACATTTGTGTCTTAAAATTTTTAAAGGTGAACTATGAATACCCTGAACCCCTATTGCATGAAAGGTGGTACGTGGGCACTAAAGGTTCGCAACTGCGGCGGGTGCAAAAATTGTAAAAATATACTTCTTTTCTCATATCCAATGTCTATTTTTATAAAACATTTATAGCCAAAATACACAAATTTTCAAAGAGGTTCCTACGGATTACTATAGATGTTTAGGGTGCTAATATCTTCCCTTTGCATAACCAATCCCCGAACTTAGATTCTCTCCCCCTATTTTTTGGTTTATTCGCTTTTTTCCCATTCCTTTGGAAACAATAAAGCACAGTGGTGACTTTTATTTTGATCTGTGCGAGTCAAGTCAATCCAATGGCTTAGTCTCAATATTTCTACCCCTACATGTAGGGTCTCTTTTAATCATTAACGGTTTCTATTTTGCGGGTTACAAGAATTAACTCGCCGGAGAAGACGAACGGAGATAGGGCTTCGTCGCCTCTCCGGTCCATCTATTTTTGTTTATTTTATATTTATTTGTTTCTGTTATACAACCGGATGAAACAGTCACCCCAGTGGAAAGAACACGCACGCTAAGGCTTTGGTCTCTAAAGGTGTGGGTTCGATCCCTGCCTTTTGCATTTTTTTGTTATTTTTTCAAGTCATGCGGGTTTCACATATAATCTTCAGCGCCTGTTTCCTATCACTAACCAGCATTTGGCCTGGTGGTAAGCTATGCAACTGTGAAGCTAGAGGGCGTGGGTTCAACACCCACCCCATGCAGTTTTAATCTTTTTTTCTTTTTTAACCTAATTTCTTTGATTTCTAACCCTAATTTTTTCCTTTTTCTTAAATATTTTCTTAATTAATTATTAACTAATTTAATTCCTTTTCAAAAACCTTAATAAATTAGGTTTAGTTTTTTTAATCAATAATTAATTTTGACATTTTATTATTTATTAATTAATTAGATTAGTTAATATTTTCTTAAAATTAAAACTAATTAGACTTTAGGTGTTTTTTTTATTAATTAAAATTAACTATACTTAGGGTTTTAATTATTTATTCAACTTCAAATTATTTTCTAAAAACATAAACGACATTCAAACATTTTTCTAATCTTTTCTTATTTTCTTTTTGCTATTTATTTTCTTAGAGAAATTGTATAGGTCGCACGACTTTTTGTAATAGCTTAGATTTGTCTTTCCGCGTTTTTTTACCTATTATGTAACTGCTTACAGAATGTAATAGTTTATGGTTTAAATTCGGCATTTTACCTTCCTGCATCTTTTATATAACTGCCCCAAAGCCCTGTAATAGCTTAGGTCTTTACTTTCTGCACCTTTAAATTTCCGTATATATTATACTGCTAGTAACTAGGCATGTATGACAAGATCTAAAAATAATCGATAGCTAACCCTAATACAAGATAAATAACTGAACTGAATACACTATTCACACTTGCACCTCTAGGGTAATCTCCGTCCTTTGGAAATAATGGTCATGTCCCTCGAAAGTAGGGATACTTTAGCAAACGACCCTCGAATAAAGATCATAGTCCATCGATGACCATTCGATGTTGCCTATGAAAAATGATCCAGTCTCTCTAATAAACTGTTAAAGTATCTCTGTATGTTGCCTTGGATGACGATTCAATGATCCTACACATGTCCCTTCATATCCAATGGATAGGGCTACCTACCAACTAATGGTATGGATAACACTATCTCTAAAGGAGAAGAAAAATAACAAGAAATACCTTGAGTGGATAAGAACTGTTAATCGCTTGCTCACAATCTTTCTAAAAAAACATTTTTTACACATCACACTTTCAAAATATTTTCAAACACTTTATACGCGTTCTTGAGGACTGATACAAGAACCATTACAAATTTGGTCGTACTTTAGGCTTTTCAAAATATTTTCAAACATCATCCACACACAAAAAAAAATTCAAAATGAGCTAGCGATTAAGAGCCTGTAGATAACTACGAATGAAAAGGGTGCTAACACCTTCCCTTTTCATAACTTACCCCCCCGATCTCAAAAACTATCAAGATCTTTCCTGTTCTTTTTACCCTTTTCTTATTGGATAAAAGAAAAGTCGGTGGTGACTCTAGTGTTTTAAAAAGAGATTTTAATTAGTTGTTTTTATAATTTACTAAAAATATGTTAAATATTTTTATAAAAAATAAATATTACGAATATTTACTAATTATGCAAAAATAGTTTAATACAAAATATGATATGTATAATAAAAACAGAAAATGGGAAATAAGTAAATTAAAAGAAATCAAATGAATTATAAAAGATTAATTAATTTAAGTCATGGGGGTGTAAAACTTAAGTCTGGGGGTGTACTAGAAATATATTCAGGCCCAAAAGAAATTCTACGCCCAAATAGCAGGGGGTGCGAAGTGGTATGGATAGTAAAACCAGGGGGTGTGAATAGTAGGGTCTTAAATCCAGATATTAGATTTAGGCCCAAACACAATGGAGGTGTGAATATGAACATACTAGCAAAACTGGGGGTGCAGAACCTAAGGTCCCAAGTCCAGATGTTAGACTTGGCTCACTAACGCAGAGGAGGTGTCTTTTTTAGCATAGTAGCAGAATAAAAAAAACAGGGAGGTGTTATTAAGAATGGGCTTGGCCCAAAGTTGAATCAGATAGAGGCCCGTTTGGATCGTGTATGGCTAGCGCATAGGATTACGGTGAGGTCGCAATTTTAGATCGTCTGATTAAGATTAGAAGGGTGTGATTGAGGTTGCACGGTAAGTGAAGCACACGAGATCATGACGGAGTATAACTTTCTGCTTTCTTCATTTTCTCCTCATTTCTTCATTCTCTCTTCCTCTCCATTTTTTCGTTTCTCTCTTCTCTCTCTAACAACAAACCCTACCCCACCAACAACGGCGATGAACCCCCCCCCCCCCCCCCCCCCCCTCCCCCCTCAACCCCAAATCAAACCCCAACCACCCTCAAATCGACATAGCAAACATCAATCGTGAAGAAAATCAAAAACACAAAAGCTGAGTTCCTCGGATGTTACCTTTACGCGTTTATTCTTTGAGCTTCCGTCTAGCCTATGCGTCTAACTCTCTCTGATCTCCTTCCCCTTACAGGTACAGTCGAAGGTGATGGTGGAAGCGGTGGAGATGGAAGATCTAGCAGCAACGTTTTGAAGGAAGATCTTAGGGTTTCTGTTCAGAAACCTTAGATCTACGCAAAGGGGAAACTCCGAGGGGATCGCTTCTTTGTGTCCTCTTCTTCTTCTGTTTCTGTTTACGATTTCTTCTTTTCCCTCCTCGTCTTATGATTTTTATGGTTACTTATAGGTTAGGAATTAGATTATATTAGGAAAATTTGTTGGTAGTCGTTACACTTTAGATGATTTTGTTAGAAATTAGGAATTAGAGTAGATTGAAGATTTGATTGATGAATTAGGGATTGAGCGATTGTAATTGATTCTGTATTTATGATTTCTGAGATTTGATGTGTTGTAATTTAGGATTTTATTGTATTTCGGACGATTTAATTTGTTTTGATTGAGATTCAATACAATTTTGTTTGATCAACACAATACTTGTTTTTTCTGGGTTACTTAGCTTGCTTACAACGCCGTTTGTGTTTGGGTTGAAAACCTTAACTCGAGTTTGGTCAACAGGTCTTCAAAGAAATCAATTATATTTTTAGTAAAAATATTTAACTAATAATAACAAATATTATTAATGTCATCATAATTATTATAAAAATAACGATAATTACAATAAGATAAGAAATAGAAACAAATTGCATGAGCAAAAGACTTAACACGATGGACCTGCTGAATTTCCTTAAATGGGTTGTAGAAAAAATGTACCATGGATTTTGTAACATCGCCCCCTCTAATTCTTAATTAGGCCTCTAATAATGGGTCATCCTTCTTCTAAGTGTAGCTCCTTACTGTAATATAAAAAGGATAATAACCTTAATGAGCCATCAGATTTTGATGGTCCTCCTGAAACATGCATCCCTTTTTATATAACAAGGCCCTTCCATTCTCATATTATTTGAACCGGGCCTAAACGTAATGGGTTGTTCTACAACAGGAAAAAAGAAACTTTATGATAAAATTACATCCCCTTTATGAATTTGTAAAAACATTATTGGGCCATCAATTTGAATGAAGAAAATATACCCCGTTTATAAACGGGACAAAAGCCTAATGAGAGAGCCATTCGATTTTGATGATCCATTTTGAAACAATACAACCCTCTTATAAATTCAAACCCCCTTTAAAATATAGTCCAAAATAAGTAAATTGAAACAACAGAATTTAAAATTTAAAATGTAACAATAATATAATCCCTAATTTTAATGAGACAAATTTGAGATATGACAACGTGATGTATATACTTTTGGTTAGGGCATCTATTTAAATCTCAAGTTGAAACATCTTTTAAAATGCAAAATTGTAATAACATATGGAAAGATATGACCAAGACAACACTGCACTCGCAGGGAAAATTATAGAAGAAGAAGAAGAAAAGACAGAGTTCGACAACATATGGAAAGAAAACAAAATTGCAGGCAGAAATTCTGGGAATGGAACCAATTGAGTTCGAAGGAAGTGGAGGAAACTCAGAGGAAGATGTGGATACATCGACTGAAGGTGCAATTGATGGCACAGTGGAAAGGGAAATTGTAGATTTCATGAAAGCTAATGAGGAGTGCACAAATGGTATCAACAAAGGTAAAACCCTAACCTCTCCTATTCTGAAAATGATGACACAAAACTTGAGTGGAAAATTTAAGGAAGTAGATAACAAGATGCCCCAAAGTCAGGAACAAAGAGTGAAAATTGATCTAGAAGATATAGAAGATGAGATTGAATATTGGAAGTCATCAACTATGTGCTATGTTCTTGATTGTAGGGCAAGTTGGAAAACCTTTGATGACGAATAAGGCAACCAAGCTTAGAGAGAAAGTAAATTTCCCGAGAGTGCTGGTTGAAGTATCCATTGAAAAAGAGTTCCCAGACAAGATACAATTTGAAGATGAAAGAAACAGGATTATTGAAGTCATGATAGGCTATGAATGGAAGCCGGAGAAATGCAACCATTGTCAAGGGGTATGGCATAAAACAAAAGAATGCCGCAAAAATAATCCTACTAGAAAGCAATGGATTATCAAAAAATAAGGTACTAAGCAGAACATCCAGGTTGAGGGAGATGATGGCTTCCAATTGGTGAATAAAGGGGTTAAGGCCAAAGATAGATTCAAGGAAAAGTTGCAGGGGGTAATTAGTACTAATCCATTCCAAGCCCTGAGTGGCAATGAAGAAGGGGAAAGTTCAAAAACTCAAGAGGAAAACGCAAAGAGAGGAGGGGAGGGAGAACCCCCTCTTACTAATGTATAAAATAGCTTCTTGGAATATCAGGGGGGTCAATAATCATACTAAACAAAGGGAGATCAAGAGATTGATCTTTAGCAACATGATAGGTGTGGTTGGCCTCCTTGAAACCAATATGAAGGTTAAGAACCTTGGCAATCTGTATCTGAATATGTTTGTCGGATGGTGCTTTACCTCCAATATCACTTGGCATAGGGAGAATAGTCCTAGGGTGGAATCCTAACTCTTTCGATGTGGATATTATCGAGTGCACTAGTTAGCTAATTCACCTGAAAGTTAGAAGCATCTAGCTGAGAGAAGATTTTCTTGTCACTTTTGTTTATGGGTTCAATACGGAAGCTGGCAGAAAAGACCTCTAGAAAGATCTGATTGGTACAGCTAAGAGTTATCCCTGGATAGTTTTAGGTGATTTTAACGACATTTTAGCCAAAGATGACATAATTGGAAAAAGGTTTGTTATGCTAACAACTCAGATTTTTTGACTTGTGTGAATAATTGCCATC